ATTGCTACTTTGCATTCTCTTAAAGTTTATAATGAATGCTTATTTTGGTGATGTATAATTTTCTCTTGCTTTCATTCACGATAGAATGTCATATTCATAATCTAAGATTGATTTATTATGTCATGAGTTACATATCTCAGAGTATGTATGGAGTGTATTACAAGGTCCAAAAACGATTTTTATTTGCTTAATTTGAAAATTACGAAGTTGGATGCCAAACTAGAAGCATACTTGAGTTTACCTTATTTTTACCTTTAGATCAATGGCTATGCAAATTTGTACTGGGGTTGGGGCAATGAAGATGATGATTTTTCGGCGCGCTCTCTCGTCGCCGGGCTCCGTCTCTCTCGGCCACCTGAGTCTCTTGGCCGCTATAAGATGGTTCGTCATCAAAAAGCCATTCGCAGTCTGGGAAATTATGCTATGTTTCTCGGCTTCCGTGGTCGCCAGCTGGTCGATGGGCTCAATAGCCTGTATGCACGGCGCAGCTATCGCCGTCTGTATCCTACAAAGATCGGTGGTGTTGAGAGTGACCAATTCCTGAATATGGGACATACAACTCCAGAAGAGATTCATGCCTCCTTTCCACCCGCGCTTTCTGCATGGTATCGTAAACAAATAAGTCATTTATCTGAATGTGCCGCAGCTCAACTCTCAAGGAATTTGTATGAACTACTTGTGAGTATTTTTGTCTTCCAATATTATCAATCAACTAATAAAAAGTACATTATAAGGGGATATTTCATGGCCCCTCTAGTCTAAATTCTATTCAAATAAAATCGGAGCAGATATTTTTATTCTGCTATTGAAGACTGTCAATGTAAGTTTAACAAGGATATTACGGAATTTCATCTTAAGCTGGATAGTGCTTTTTTATACAGATATCTTCATAAGTCTTGCCCTGGTTTGCGAGCTATACAGATGTATTTTCTATTAATGACTTATGTCCAAACCTGAATGACTTATTCTAAGTAGCACTTTATTACATTACATGTTCTTATTTGTAGCCTAGTATGGGTTAATCTGCTTTTTGTTAATTGATGCGAACTTTTCATTCTTGATCAGAAACTGTTTTCTAATGAGCCCATCACTTATTTTTATACTTTTTTTTAGAAAGATATTTTTGAAGAAGGCGTTCTCTGCACAAATTGGCCAAGATTGCTTTCTTCTGATTCTGCATTTGAGTGAATCCTCATAAATTAGTCATTTGATCA